GACGGACGACAGACGAGAGCTCACAGCACGCAGAGACGCACACGAGGACAGCCATACTGGACAGATGCGCTAGGGTCCGTGACCGTGGGGGGCTGAGGCGCCCCCACACACAGCAGCTAAAGTCCTGCGCTGCAGCCTCTGAGCTCCCACATCAGCTTTCCCAGAGATTCAACGAGTCCACCTTTAGCAAATCCCCTGTTTCCAAACTTAGCTGCTGCGGGGCCCTGTTTGAAGATGAGGGCCTGATGTTCCTTCCGCACTTAGTTGGATCTCTAAGCCTCAGCTCACAGACCCCAGCTGCCGGAGAAGCCATTCCACTGTCACTTGTCATCTGCACGTGGCCAATTCAGTGGATATTGGCCACAAACCATCACCTGCCTGCCCTGCTCAGCAAAGCACTCTTCACACGGAAAGCTAATGCGAACAGCAGTCTTCTCAGGACACACAAGAGAAGTGAGGTGCTTTTTTGCACAGAAAAACTCAAAGGAGCAGTCTCTTGCACTTGACCCCCTCTCCTGAAAGGCCACTTTGGTTAAATCCATGGCCACAGCTCCCCTCAATGAAGCAGGCGTGCTGATCAGGAAAGGGCGAAGGGCAGACGCGGAATTCATGCGCAGAGTTCCCCTCGTTCTGATCCTTTCACCCTTCAAAACAGAAAGCGCTGACAAGTAATGGCTTCAAGCTGCGTTCTTGTCTGCCTCTCCTGTGAAACAGGTAAAGCCTTTTCTAAAGCGAGATGGCTAGAGATGAAATAACCTCTAAAAATATCACCGTGGTGAATAAGGGCACAGAATAAAACAATTAAAAAAATCAAACTCAAGTTTCCTTTTAACACTCCCGAGAACGCCAGTGGTAGGGAGAGGCGCCCCCAGCGATGGTGCATAAATAGCTCTGGTTGGAGCGATGCAGCTTTGCCTCCGCTCCTCCGCAGCTGGACCCTGGACCAACAGACTACCACGGCCGCATTTTCACAGCTCAAAAGCAAATCCACTGAAACAAAAGGGGCCCTTGTTTCTGCAACGAAATCCAACAAAGCCCAGTACAAAGTCAGTATTTATGCTATGCCACATACATGCAATTCTGGTTTATGGAAGACATCCACGGTTTTCAAGGGAAAAAAACTGTTTATTGAAAAAGTTGTTTAAACTTTCACTCACTTAGGATGACTAAGATCACAAATGGACACTTTAATACTGTAAAAAGTACTCCTACGGATATGCTCTGATATTCTTTAAAAAATGAAAAACAACTAGTACATTAGAGAGCCTTGAGACCCCCGCTAGACAGAGGAAAACGGTCACGAGATCCTCTTCTACCAGCTCAAACGACTGGCACGGAGCAAGTGACCGTCGAGGCCGGAGGCAGGACTGAAGGCTGGGGAAGGCAGCGGCTACCACAGAAAGCACCGAGGCCCCAGCGTCACACGGACTGAGGTTTCAGCAGTAGCTGTGGTGCTTATAGCTGGTTCCTGGGCAGTACTTAACACCGCTAGGCCCCAATTCCATCTGTGAAATTCCTACCCCATAAACTTGCTGAGTATTACATGAAACAATGCGTGTAACGAACCTAGCATCATTCCTGGCATTCGGTAGGACGTTCATAAGAATGCTCATTTCCCAGGAACCAGCAGTTAGCGTAATGGCTATGTCACTGGACTCCCACGTAGTCGACCGTGGTTCACGTCCTGGACCCGGTGGCTTAGAACTCATGCCGGGTGCGTGTGCGTGCGTGCCCAAGATCCCGAGAAGAGAATGGAGGAGAAGGGATTGCGGCGTGACCATCCCCCCTGGGGGGTGATTTCTCGCTTTCTGTCTCTATGTCTCTCTCTGTCTGTCTGGCGAGCGCACGCGCCCTACAGTGAAAATCTCTCTCTCAAAAAAAAAAAAGAATGCTCGTTTCCCCGTGCAGCTGCTGTTCCTTTAGCCTGCGCGCGTTTTTCCGGGCTAGGGAGAAAACCCCATTAGCTTGCAGGACTCCTGGCCATGCGCTAGTGCACTGCAGCCACAGTGTATGTTGGCCTGGTCCTTCCCTGTGCAGGCCACTCCACTCTTCATATCCAGGTAAGAGAAAGGGCAAGGTTCTAGAGGTCACAAAAGGAGTTACCGCTTGACACCTGAGATGGAGTCACCAATTCACAAAGGCCACTAGGACACACAGGTCCTCCCAAAAAGTGTTCATCCACTAACGAAAAAGAGCAAAGTCCGAGTGAAAAGCGGAGCGGAGACACCTGCTAGCTCCACTCGCTGGCTGAGCAGGTCGTTCTCAAAGCAGGAGGATTTTCATTCATAAGGAGAAATGTACACATGCATGGGGTCTTTGGAATCCCGCAAGTCACTATCTGTTTTCTTAAATTCATGATGTTAGAGCATGTGTGAGAGCAAGAAGAGAGAAACATCAACCACAGGGCTCTGTCATGCTGCACGCCCTCCCTCTGGCCCCAGCCCACCAGGATTCGAGCATGTGTGTGCGTGCCAGTTGTGTTTTCAGGCCAACCAGGCCGGGGACTCAAACCGTGGTCAGCACACAGATTCCAGCTCTGTGGTCGGGTACGGTACCAGCTGCTCCACAGTGGCTGGGCTAAGCTGAAATCTTTAAGTCAAACCCTAAGAGGCAGAAAAACCAATTGTTAAGAGCCCAAAAAATGATGGGACATCACCAAAATCGACAATTCCAAAACCGTAAAGTAAGAGGAGTGCTTCTTCTAGGCAGGAGGTATTCCCTAGAAGTACGGCACCTGCTACACACAACGGGCTTTCGCCCTGTCAGCGCGTCCTCCTCACAAGTTTTCAGCCAGATCTGTGTAGGG